TACCAGGCACTGTGGCTTGGAACAGATCCCTGCCTCCTCCCGAGCCCCAGTTTCCTTCTTTGTAGGGTGGGATCAAAGTGCCTACTCCATGGCGTTAATGTGAGGATTCAACCAGAGCTGCCTAACTCATGCTTGGATCCCTGGGACTGCTCAATAAATTATCTCATCTACTCTAACCCTCGGAGTAACCCTCCCGCTCAGGCCAGAGGAACTACAGGGAAAATGTTAGGGATGGGATGGAGAGAGAGAAGTGCTTCTAAAAAGCATTTACTGTGAAAATTCGTAAATGCTTGTGAAAGCAGAATGTTCTGATAAATATGCATACTCATCAATTAGGTTTTTAAATGATTAACCAGAGTAAAGGCTGCAATATCTCCATAAACTCGAAGATAACAATCCTTAGGAGGCTGAAGAAGAAACTTTCAATGGTTCAACTAAACAGTCATAAAGATGCATCAGGTCTCTAGCCTGGTTAGGACCCAACAACCAGAGTGGGGGTCATGTTTGGCACCTGTCATTTGTCCCCCTAAGTAACAATGCCCTCCACACTGGACATGGCTATGGTATCTCCTTGGTGATAAGGTTCCATCTCTGGGTCCCCTAAACCATATGATTTGTCTTCTACTGCCCAGCCCATTCTGGGAGACCCAAAAATCCTACCTTCTTTTTTTCCCCCTACCTTCTTAAATTAGCAAGAGAAAGCTTTTATTTTCTTACAGTCCAGATCCCCAAGTGATAATCAGTCTGCAGAAAGGCCACAGCTGCCACGGCTAAGGAGCTAGCACCTGATGTCCCCTGAGATTAAAATAATCTATTCTTTCAGGAAGAAAACAGGAAAGAAATCTTATCAAGGAAAATGCCCAGGCCCTCTGGCCTTCTGGAAAATTACCGAACTATATTCTTAACTATAAAAAGCAATCTCTTAAGATCCCAAGAGGCCAGCAGAATAAGCGCATGGCAAAGGGGAAAGCAGAAATAAAATGGGTGAAGGGGTGTGGCACTGGCTGACACCACTCCGTGCTGAGCACGTCCTCACAGATTTCTGTTCGGTCCTCACAGGAGTGCTGTTAAGTAGATATTCTTGCTCCTTGGGGTCACGGTTGGGGAAACTGAGGCTCAGAGAGGTGAAGTCACTTGCCCAAGATGGAGCCAGGCCTGGCTCTCTCAGAAACCCATATCCTTTGTTAACCAGCGTGCTACTGTGTGGCCTTAGATGAGTTCCCTCTCTTCTCATTCTGAGCCTCAGTTTCCTCTCCCTGATATGGGGATAACAAGGCCTGGCTGGCTCTCAAAACTTTCAGAAGGATTTAGGCTCAGAGGGACATAGAGAGAGTTGAGGGGACCCAGGGCCCTGCTGGGGACCGGGGTGACCTTTTTGGTTGTCCTCAAAACTGACAACGCTGGAGCTCTGGAAGAAGAAACTCCATGGCCCTGTTGAGGGGTCACAAGTGTGATGCTGGTACGGTGGGACCAAGGAAAATCACTAGGTCCTCTCAGGTCCCCAAAAAGGAAAGAGGGGAGGAGGCAGGATGGAGAGCTGGGGGGGGACTCAGCGTGTTGCTGTTTTTGGTAGCTGCTCAGCTGACGGCTTTCCAAGCTGAGAAACACACATACACAAACTCTAACCTCTTCTGCCTTAAAATAGACCAGCAGAACCAAAAATGCCAAGCACAGGGCAGAGTCACTTGCTCCGCAGGGCCAGACAGCTCCCCCATGGCCCCAATAATACCCATCCCTAGCGGGCACACTTGACAAAACAGCTCTCAGCTGATGTCACAGGATGCTCACTCGGAGGGTGAGTGAGGCCTGCAAGGTGCTCATCTCAGGGGAGCGATCCCAGGCCCACAGGAGTGGGATGCACCCAGCAGCACCTTGCCTGACAAGGAGCTTGACCTTGGGAACCAGACAGCCAGGAGTTCAAGTCCTGGCTCAGCCATGATCTGGTTGTGAGGGCTTGGCAAGGTCTCCTGTTTCCTGAACTGTGAAAGGAGTTTCTACAGCAAAGTCTGAAGATGACCAGCACAGACAGACTGATAGTCCTAGCCTGGCCACTGCTTGTGGAAGCAGAATTCTTGACATCTGCAGGCAGACAGTTGTGAAAAAGGAGGAAAAGCAGCTACCAGTCCAGGGGTACCTAAAAGAGGCACACAGTAGCTTTTATAATCCTTGGTATGGTCCTGTGTGATGAACATTAATTTCACCCTATTTTCCAGACAGGGAAACTGAGGCACGGAGAAGTAGAAGGGTTCTGATTGCCGACACACAGCTAGAAAGAGGAGGAGCTGGAATTTGAACCCAGGTGTTGGGAACCCCAGCTGTGCTCATGACCAAGACCCCATGACCGCTCCCCTGAGAGAGTCCTGCCCATCCACTAAGACAAAGCCACTTCCCCAACCCCACTGTCCCAGCAAGCTCTTCTTAGGCCCTTCTTGGCGCCCCATTGAACTCCACCTCGAGACTTCAGCCTTCGTTCCCCTCTGACATCTGAGGAGAATCAGAAAACCAAGCTTGCTGATACTTACTAAAAATAAGGCCAAGACAGCTGTGCCAGCACCCTTGGCACCAGCACCCTGTTTCTAGGCCACTGAGCTGCTATCCTGCCTCTCAGGGGAGAAGGGGTCCAAGGCCCCATCCACAGGTGCTGGGCCCTGATTCTGCCGGGGAGGTCCCTACAGGCCGGCCTCCGCATACCTGAATATCTGGTAATAGTGACGGACACTGCTCGATAAGCTGGGGCCAACCATCCTCTCGGGGTTTCAGGCCCACTGCCTCAGGAATCCTCACAACAACCGTCTCCATCCTCCTGAGCAGGAATTGTGCCCTGGCCTTTTCCAGCCTCAAGAAGTCACCCCCTTGTCACGCACTGTGGCCCCCTTCCTTCATCTTCAGCACCCGCCATGCCAGGCGGAGTCCTTCTCATGCTGCCATGTCCCTGCTTCTCTCTCCTGCTTCCCTCTTCCAGTTTTAAGGACTCTTGGGATTATATTGGGCCCACCCAGGTAAACTAGTATCAGCTCTAATTTTGAGGTCAGCCAGCCAGCCACCTCGTGCTGTCTATGATCATAGTTGCCTCTTTGCCATGCAGCCAAACACAGTCACAGGTCTCAGGACAGGGCATGGACATCTTTGCAGGTGAATCGACTACCGCAGCTCCTCATGAGTTAGGATTTTTTTTACCCTATGCTACTGATGTGGAAACTGAGGCATCCCAAGTTTACACTCTATCAAGGAACAAAAGTGGGCTCTAAACCCAGCAGTTGGGTGTAGTTTATGCTCTTAAATTCTATATACTATTGCTCTCATTCATCCACAGTCATTGGGTATATATGCTATGTTCCAGGTTCAGGTGCTGGGGACCAAAGTATAACCAAGATTGGATCCCTGTGCTCAGGGAGACACAAACAGAAGATGGCAGGACCCCCGAGGCCTCCTGGAACACAAAGTACCCCACCTGCAGAGGTGTGAGGAAAGACGTCCAACTGAGCTGAGAGCTGCAGAGTGGGTGAGGCATTAGCCAGCTGTATCTACTGCAGAAGGATGTCGTGTGATTAAATGCATCAATACCTGTAAGGTGCTTCCACTGGCTCCTGCACCCTGGCAGAAGGTAACAAATGTTGGCTGCTGAGTGTGGTGGTAAGAGGACTGTTCCAGGCTGAGCAGGAGTTTATGCAAGGAGCTGAAAGCTTAGGGTGGCTGGAGCAAACAAGGTCAAGGGGTGATGGGCAGAGAAGCTGGAGCAGTCACTGAGAACAGGTGATGCATGCCAAGGCTGCATAAAGACCTGGGAGGCTCGAGAGCTGCACGTGAGGCTGCCCGGTGCAGCGCTCAATCTCCATGCAGGCCCAACCAGGACTCTGAAAACATACCGCATTGGAGCCAGGGACAGGAATGGGCCGCTCAAGGACTGGGGTCAGTGGAAGGTTCCCCATAACCCAGCTGCTCAGGCCAAGTCCAGGAGTCCTTTGCCGTCCACATCCAACTCAACAGCAAGTCCTGTTGCTCCATGTGTCAGGGCAGCACTAGCTGCAGTGACAGATAGACTCCTAAATCTCAGAGGCTTAACACACAGAACGGAAGTTCAAAGCAGGTGTTCCTGCTGGTAGGCAGCCTTGCAAGGTCCCTTTGGGGCTGTGCACTCAGCCTGCAGTTGAGGAAAGGGGTGGAGGACAGCGGGGCTGAGCTGTAGGGGCCAGGCCTGGGAGTGGCATGTGGCACTTCTGCCCCAGTTCCATTGGCTACACCTAGGCCACATGGACGCTCCTAGGTGCCAGGGAGACTGGACAAGGTGGCCAGCTGTGTGCCCAGCTCCAGCTGCCCAGCCATTCCACTTTTCTCCATCTCCAGCGCTCTGTGCACGTTTGGACTACACTCTCCACCGCTCTCCACTTTCCACACAGCAGCCTGACGCTTTTTTTTTTTTTTTTTGGTACAGGGGATCAAACTCGGGTCTTTGTGCTTGCGTAGCAGGTGGCGAAACCACTGAGCTAAATCCCCGGCCCAGCCTGATGCTTTTTAAAAAATTTTATTTTAGAAATGAGAATCAGAGCATGGAATCGTTATGTGCATGTTTTTCTGCTTACAGCTTTCCATGGCTTTCCATTGTCCTGACGAATAAACCCACGTAAGACCCTACGTGAAATCACCTGTTTCCCTTCCACCCCCACACCCTGCACCCCAATTCTTTCAGCTCCAGACGCAATGGCTCCCTCCCGCTTGGTTGCCCTTCCCCCCATCTCTCCCTTCTCCCCAGTCGCTCCTCCTGACTTTCCCGACCGTCTCAGCTGGCTGTGCCCACCTCCCCCAAACACTGATTGTGTTTCTTCTTTGTCACACTCGTCTTGTCTTTGTTAGTTAGCCACCCCTGCTTACTTGCGAGTCAGCTCTGTCCACCAGGAATCTTGTTTGCACCAGCAAGGGCTTGGTCAACGCTTGCCAGATGCTTGATTGACTGAAGGAAAGAACGGGTGACTTTCCGAGGGTCCCAGGTTGAGCTAGTGGCGGGGCAGGACTTCTGCAGATCTGTGCTGGGACTTTTAATCCAGATGTCACCGTTTGCAGACACATTAGCCCCAGGGCGCCAGCGGGAAAAGGGAGACAATTTCGAGGGGGCTGGCGGGACGGGAGCAGCAGCGTAGCTGGAGAGTCCGCTCCACGCCGGCCGCCGCCTCGCCCAGGTCCCGCCCTCGGCCCGTCGGTGCCGTCCCGGCGAGTCCCCGGCGCGGCCATGAGCAAGCAGAGCGTGCGCACCGCCGCGCTCGTCCTGTGCATCCTGTCCTACCTGCTCGTCGGTGCCGCGGTCTTCGACGCGCTCGAGTCCGAGGCGGAGCGCGGCCGGCAGCAACTGCTGGCCCAGAAGCGAAGCGAGTTCCGGAGGAAGTACGGCTTCTCAGCCGAGGACTACCGCGAGCTGGAGCGCCTGGCGCTGCAGGCCGAGACGCACCGCGCCGGCCGCCAGTGGAAGTTCGCCGGCTCCTTCTACTTCGCCATCACCGTCATCACCACCATCGGTGAGCCGCGCCACCTCCCCTCTGCGCGCGCTGCGTCCCGTCCCTAGTGCCCGGGCGCCTCTGGGTTTCAACCCCACCTCTGCCCCTGCCCAGCCGTGTACTTTGGACGGGGCCTTCGGGCTTCTCCAGCCTCGTTTACCTCCCTCGCCCCGTGCGGCTGCCGGCCCACCAAGGCAGGGCTCGGAGGCGGCAGTGTTCTCCAAGAGGCTGGCACGGGACTGCTCCCCAAACCCCCAGACAGGGTGAGGGCGGGAATGAAATGGGACTGGAAGACCGAGTGCCCGGACAGCTCGGCCGGCTTGCAGCACCATCAGCTGTGCGAATTTAGACAAGTTGCTCAGCCTCTGAGCCAGTTTCTCCTGCATAAAACAGGAGTGCTAATAGGTCCTATCTTGGGGTCGTGAGGAGACTATTGCCGAGGAGATAATATATGCAGAAAGTTTTAGCACAGGGCCTGACACAGAAAGCATTACAAAAAAGGAGATTGGTTTTTGCATGGTACTAATAATTATTCTGTTATTCCATGAGAACAGAGACATCATATGTCTTATTCGCTGCTTGTAGCCAGTGCCTAGAGCATAATAGGTACTCAATAAATATTTGTTAAAGGAAGGACTGATTACCACAAGCTTTGGACCCTACCCTCGCGCCTCCAGGGTAGTTCTTCCTCAGCATCTGGACTGCCAGCTGTTGCCATGACTACTGTCTGGCTGATACCTGCTGAGCCTAAGCCTGGGAAAACTGCAAAGGAGAGAATCCAGCTCCGCAGAGTGCCAGGCTTAGTGCCAGTGTCCCCACAGGCTCCTCCTTGGCCTCACCACCGGCCTGGAAGAGCGCGCCTTGGAGAAAGTTTCTCCATAATGCTGTTTCAAGTGAATGGGACTTGTGGATTTAGTGGCTGAGTTGCATGTGTAATTTCTGCAGTTTCATAGACTGAGTTCTGTCGCCTGTTTTCTCAGGCAATGAGCATACTTCTCTGAGCCTTGGTTTCCTCAAAGGCAAGATGCAATTATTCTTGCCTCACTGATTGCCAGGTTCAAGTGAAGTCAGGCGTGTGAAGTGCTTGACATGGCGCCTGAGGCCAAGGAAAACACTATTTGTTAGTAATAATAATTCATTATTTGCCAATTATGGCCCAGCTCTCCTTGCCCCTCCTGTCTCCACGGGTGCCTCTGTTTCCTTATCTTGGCTTGGCCTGAGACTCTCCCTGTGCTGCTGCCCAGGGATGTGGTGCCCCAACCATATTCTTTCAGGCTTTGCAGATGGGTTCTTGGGTATGCCCATTGGAGCCTGGGCAAGACAATAGCTGAGTGGAAGCAGGAGTTTTTCATTTTCTGGCCACCTGGGGGTGCCACCACCTGCTGTGTGGGCCAGTCTGCTTACCCAGCCTTGCAGAAGCCAGGCCTCAGCGCCCAGGAATCTGAGCTCTGCTTGGGTAGAAGTAGAAGAGAGGCACCGAGATGACGGGGAGGACAGTAGCTAATAGCTCAGGCCCTGGGACCTTTGGAGAGCCTCCTCCCTCTGAGCCTGGTTTCCTCATCTGTAAAATGGGGATAATATGTCATCCCATACGGTCAATGGAAGGGCTAAATAAGATAACCCATGTTCAGTATCTAGTATGTCTAGGTATTATCATTATTCATTTTACTCCCTGCCCAAACCTAGCATAGCCCCAAGCAGGTAGAAACAGCATTTCCTGGCCTCTTATTCTTAAAGTGGCCCCTTTGTCCTGCTCTAGCACCCCCTAAACTTGGTTGGAATCAATAAACTTTCCCTGGGCCCATGGTCTATGTCTCTGTGCAGGACGCTGGTGACTGGAGACTTAGAGAAGTGACCTCTGTGGTTCCTGACCTGAAGGAGCACAAAGTTTGGTGAAGGGCGAAGCAGCTTCCCCCGTAATGGAGGAAGGCAAACTGATAGGGCGGTGCAGGAGCATGCGGGAGTGCAGCCACAGGTCCTCAAACACATATGTTGTATTGATATTGTGAATGCTGTGTATGCCCACAGCGAACATCACACATGGCACAAAAAGATATGGAATTTAAAGGCAGTCCCCTCCCACTCTTTCTTTTAACCCATAAATCCTTCCTACGTCAAATACAATGACCGTTTCTTGTGTATCCTCTAACACCCACATTATACAGGCATTTTAATATACACGCTATTTTGTCTCTTGCTTTTTTCACTTAATATATTTCGGAGATGTTTTTCAATCAGTCCCTAAAGACCTGTGTCATCTTTTCATGGCTGTTTAGCAGGGTTTCTCAACCTTGGAACTACTGACATCTGGGCCTGGATAATTCCGTGTTGCGGGGGCAGCCTGGGCACGGCACCATGTTAATGGATCCCTGGCCTCTACCCTCTAGGTGCCAGTGGCACATGGCCACCTCATCCCTACTCCCCAGTAGTGACAAGCCAAAATGTCTCTAGACATTGCCAAGTGTCCCCTGAGGAGTAAAACTACTCTGGGTTGAGAATCACTGCTGTAGAGTATTCCAGGATGGATGGCACCATGTTGTATTTCACCAGACCCCTGTCGATGGACACTTAGGTTGTTTCCAGTTTTCACTATAACTGCCAGTGCTGCAGTGACAGCCTACTGGGACCCCCAATGAAATCTCCAACCCCTGCTTACGTACACGACGCAGAATGAAGACAAAGATAAATAGCAGAAGAAATGAGGCCTGGGAAGTCAGAGCTTCTAGTGAGCAAAGACCCTAAACCTCCAGACTTACCAGTATTTATTGAGCACAAAGCAGCAAGGGGGAGCGTGTGGCCAGGCATGGGGGGCGATGATCAGAGATGCTGATGTGAGCGAGCCCTAGCAACAACAGAACAAAGCATTCCTGCAAGAAGTCAATATTAGGTTACTGGGAACTTGTTCTTTCCCTTAGATTAATAAACTTTTTATAGAAGATGAGCAAGAATCATGGGGTCTTTGGCTGCAGATGGTATCAGCTAATACAGGCGCCATGGTGTCACTGACCTGGATTGGTCTCTGCTGTGGCCAGTGGCACGTAGAGTTCTCTTTCTGCATGCCAGCTGCAGGCATTAAAGTGTGCATTTAAGTCTTAGGCCAGCTCTGAATTATAAGTATAAGCCAACTGTATTAAACCAATTGAATATAATCAAAGCCTGATCAACACCATCTTAAGGGGGTCTCCTCCTTCAACAGCCCAAGTGCACATCATTTTGTATACTTGTGTATACTGGAAAGCCAACTGCCTAACCATGGAACTGCATGAGTCAAGGGCTTGTATATTTTGCATTTTAGCAGGTGGGGTCAATCCTCTTGGGGAGGCATATTCTGTTGTGGAAATCCACCTGACTTCTTTTGGGTTATAGGCTATGGCTCCTATCCCCAGAATGTCACACTTCCATTCATTCTGCAGTAACTGCACAGTGACCCAAGACTCGAGGAACCTCTAGAGAGGAAGCACTCATGTCTGGATCCCCTCCAGCAGTTGAGGGGCTCAGTGAAGAATCCCTATTCCAGATAGTACCAGAACAAAGGGGTGTTTAGTGAGTCTGGCCCAGTGGTGGAGGAGGCAGGATCTGGGAAGGGAGGAAGGGTGAGGAGGGGAGAAAAGACGAGGGAAGAAAAAAATCAAGGCATTGAATATTTCCTTCACCCCCTAAATTGTCATGCCCATTTGCAGTTAACCCATTCTCCAACCCCAAGGACTTACAACCACAGATCTGTTCTCTGTCCCTGTTACTGTTCCTTTTCCAGAATGTCATTTCAATGGAACCATGCAGCTTTAGTTGTATTATTGTGCCTGCCTTAATGTCTTCAGTTGATTAAAAAGTTTACCTTTCATGGTCATTTTGACTTTGGGAAGAGCCAGAAGTTGCACGATGCCATATCCAGGGAATAAGTTAGATAAGGACACACTGTAATGTTCTCACGAGCCTGCCTGGCACTTGGCAGCAGTATTTACTGTATTTTTTTAAATCATATTTTGTAAAGACACAAAAGATTTGGAGAACTACTTCAGAAAGTGGCAAGAATGATGGGATAAGTGTGTTTGAAGTGAGGGGAAGTATCTGAGGGGCATTAATGGCAATGTGTCTTTTACTGTAATAGTTATATATTTTTTTGAGCACACATTGTATGTTTTGATCAGCCCTTGTACGTTGAGATCCACCCTTTACCTCTGCAGGTGACAATAGTTCCTTTCATTGTGTGTCCCCCCCCCCCCCCCCGGCCAAGTACCGCTATATACCACGGGTTATTCATCTTCCTGTCGAGGGACATGGAGGCTGTTTACAATATGGGGAGATTACACTCAGGCAAGATTTCAGAGCGCAGGGGTGACCTGGCTAGTCCGTGTCTGAGATGGTCAGCGGGGCCTGGGGGCGGGGAGGGACAGGAGTGCTGTCAGATGGAGCGGGGCTCTCACTGCCCTCTCCACTCTCGCACAGGGTACGGCCACGCCGCGCCAGGCACGGACTCGGGCAGGGTCTTCTGCATGTTCTACGCGCTCCTGGGCATCCCCCTGACGCTGGTCACCTTCCAGAGCCTGGGCGAGCGGCTGAATGCGCTAGTGCGGCGCCTCCTGCTGGCGGCCAAGCGCTACCTGGGCCTGCGGCGGCCGCGAGTGTCCACCGAGAACATGGTGGTGGCCGGGCTGCTGGTGTGCGTCGCCACCCTGGCCCTCGGGGCCGCCACCTTCGCGCATTTTGAGGGATGGACCTTCTTCCACGCCTACTACTACTGCTTCATCACCCTCACCACCATCGGCTTCGGCGACTTCGTGGCGCTGCAGAGTGACGAGGCTCTGCAGAGGAAGCCGCCCTATGTGGCCTTCAGCTTCCTCTACATCCTGCTGGGGCTCTCGGTCATCGGCGGCTTCCTCAACCTCGTGGTCCTGCGCTTCCTCGCCGCCAGCTCCGACACGCCCGAGAGTGCTGCCCGCCGCGTCAGCCCTTTCCGCCGGGGGGCGCCCAAGAGCCGCGGCCTAGACCGGCCCCGCCGCGTTGCCGGCGTCCGGGCCGACACCTGGGTCGCGCACCGCATCCTCCAGCTGCAGATGCCGGCCTGTGACAATCCAGGCTTCTCCCCGCCTTGGAGTCCCACGGCTGTGCGCGGTGGCAGGGCAGACAGGCCCCGCGCCAGGCGGAAGTCCGTCTGATCCAGCCGTAACTGGCTGGGCTCCAGCTGCATGGGAGCATGGGAGGGTCTGATTTCACCTTTCAGGGCACCCCAGGGCCTGGAGCGGGGTGAGGGGTCTCGGGGCTGTCTTGGGGTGAGCATCTTCGGTGACTCTTCCCCTTCCTCCCAGCCCCTCCAGAAATGTACCAATGCCGTCTCAGAAGCACAAGCCAGACTCTACAGTGATCCTGTAGGTGCAAATCCCTCCTAGTCCAAATTATAGGACAGCTGGGCACATCAGCCCCAGGAGAGGCCCAGCACAGGCGCATGTCTCTAGCCAGCTCATCAGACAGGTGGCTGTTTCTGTTAGGAAGAGGTGGTTCTGCATGCTGCAGGGAAATGTCCAATTCTGGACTCTGGAACCCTTATTATCCAGGCCACAGGAGAAAAGGGAAGAGAGATGGACAGAGGGGAGCTGCCCACCATCCACAGCAGAGCTGACTTGGCTCATGTGTGAATGATTCGCCCACTTGCCCCTGGCCAGCCCCACTTCCAGGTCCAGGTGGGCTTTGCTGATAGTCCCCATGTCACCAGGACTACCTGGAGGCAGCCCAATGCTGTGGGTCCTGCTTGTCACCAGCAATGTGACCTTTGGACTTTCATCCTCTACCCGGGCCTCAGTTTCCCCATCAGTAAGATAAGTGGGTTCCTCCAGAGCTCTGCTCCCTGCAGTGCATCTCTGGCAGGGCTTTCTAGGCCGGGCCCGGACACCATAAGGGAGTATTAATGAAGCCTACGGTTGGCCATCCTGGCATCCATAGGACTCAGCCCCTTAAAACACCAGCATCTCAGAACTGTCCCAACACAGAAAGCAAGCCGGGTTAGAAAAGCCAAAAACTTTAATTTTCAACATGAGCTACATGGTCATGAACACAATGCAATGTGACCCACTCCAACCCAGGGGCCCCAGAAAGCCACCCTCCCTAAAGGCCCAGTGGCTCCTGCTCCGGGAGAGGGCACAAGGGAAAAGTGGGTGGATGGAAGGAGGACCCCAGGTCAAGGAGCCAGGGATCTGCCCTCCCACCACCCTACAGGAGGCAGTCATGGCATGAAAGGGCTCAGAGGTGACACCTTTGCCCTGGTTCCAGCCTCCACTCTGCCCAGTGGCCACTGTGGGTAAAATGGGCAGGGCCGCCTGCTCTAGGCGCTTTCAGTGAGCTGGATGTGAACACTTTCTGGCCATTGAGTACCAGCGCCCTGCAATCACGGGCCCTCCCAGAGGGCAGAGGGAGCTGATACAGCAGGATAGGGAGGGGGCTCGGTCCTCTGGGTCTGGCACAGCACTGCTGCTCAATAAATAAATGCAGGTGACCCAGCCTGATGCAACAGCTGTGCCTCTGGAGGGAGTAGCTCAGTGCTTTCTGAACACGAAGCATGCCCAGAGCTCTGGAGTTAGGGAGCTGGATGGTGCATCAGCACATAAAGTGTATAACTTCCTAACTATCCTGTTGGATTCCTGGAGTGGGAGAGAGCACGGAACTGCTGGGGAAGTGAGTGCTAGAGTTGGCTGAGCCACTCACTTGACGCAGGACTTTCAAGAGCACCTTCCTCCTCCAGGACCTTGGCCTCTCCCTCTTGAAAACAGGGGCTGACAATACAAATGGCACACTCCAAGAGAAAGCACTGTGAAACCACGTGGCCAGAGCTGAGGGAAAGCAGGGCTCAGTGCATCCGAAGCTCAGTGAGGCTGTCTAGATGCGGGGTGCTTCCTATGGCTCCCACTCCTCATCCCTCAGCCCAAGCAGCCGATGATGCTTCATCACTCTTCCCCACCTGGTCCTGGGGAGGTTACGGTCCCTGGACGGGAGCCCCCATCCCTTCATCAAGCCCTAGATTAAATCCTGCACTCCTCAGTCAGCTGGGCAGATGCGCAGAGGCCTCCGTCCCCAAGTTCAAGCTCAGAAAAGACAATGGCCCATGAGAGCCAAGCAGAACTGTGTGGGCCAGGGTCTAAGAGGCCAGAACTGCTGTTCATGGCTGAGCTGTTCTGGAACAAGGTTTTCCTGCACAGGGAGGAAGCACAATGGGGCCCCGAGCTCTGCCTCCACTGCTCACTTGCCGAGGGGTCTTGACAAATCATTTCTGCGTCTGGGTCTCAGTTTCTTAGCCTCTGAAATGGACTGCAAACTTGTCCTGGCCATATTTTGGGGTTCCCTGGGGGGCTTTAGAAAGGGAAGAGGAAGAGTGGGAAGTGGCAGCCCCCTTCATCTTGTGCTGGCTCCAGCTCAGTTCCTCCAGGGAGGAGGAGACCCAGGCTGGGGGAGCCGTGAACACACAGGTGACCCCTGGGTGGCTCCTGTGCTGGGCCTGGACTAAAGGTCCCAAAAGTCCTTTCCCTTAGTATGGACAGTCATTTTGCAGCAGGATGAGGGAGGTGGTGCACTCCCATGGCAGCCCTGCCCAGAGACCGAAAAAAGAACACTCCTAGAGATGCCAGCCCCAGAAAGGCCCCCAACCCCTGTTCCTCTCCAGATGGTAGAGTCTGAGTTGGCAAAAGAGCAGACAGCAGAGGGGAGATGCCAGGCTGAAGTTTCCCCAAAGCTAGTGATGAAAATAATCCTTCCCCCTCCCCAATTGTCCTTCCTGGTGCAAACGGATGGTGGTTCCCACACCCAGTGGCTACAGCCCCTTCTAGGGGCCACATGCTCACAATGATGACATGAATACACAGGGCTCTAGCCCCACCCCACCCCTCCAGGAGGTGAGCGAGATTTCACAGAACAAACAAGGAAGTCGGTGAGGGGGTCTTGCTGGCCACCCCCGGGGTGTTATTGCTTTGGAGCGCTTTTCTCTCCCTCTCTCTCCCTCTCTCTCTTCCCCCTCCCTTTTCCTGTGTCTCTCTCTTCTGTCTCTAACCTGAGCAGACAGTGGAGGGAGGGCTCAGGCTGGGAGGACAAGTCAGTGCTGAGCCCCTACCCCTCTGGTTGGGACAGCCAGGCTCTGCCTTGACTTTGAAAAGTGACCCCTGAACAAGCAGAGCAGTGACAGCCAGCCGGAGAGAGAAGGCACTCTCCTGCTTGCTCAAAACATCCCATATAGCAAGTAATAAATGAACAGCAGAGAAATCACACTGCTTAATAAAAGGGACGTGGGGAAGAGGAGCTGCCTGTGGGCCTCGGAGAGCCACGTGGAGCCCTGCGCCCTCCTGCACCATCCCAGTCTTAGGCTCTGCCTCCATGGTCCCGGGAAGCTCTGCAGACCTGGAGGAGAGGGGCATCTCCATTTCTCCATTTCTCCTTCCCAGTGCACTGCCAGGAGTTCCATGGAGGTGACAGAACTTAACTTTAAAGGGCAGCCAGGGCTTAACCGGGCCAAGTGGGAGGATTTCCAAGTGGAAGGAATCCCTGGTGGAACCGGGAACAAGGTGGGACCAAGTAGAGCCCAGGGGTCTTCGGTCCGAAGAAACCAGGCCCCTCCACCAAGGCTCGGGAAGTCTCAAGAGTATCTCATACAGAAAATCAGAATCAAGGATAATAAATCAGAATGTTGAGTATAATGGGCAGCTCCGGCTACATCCCTACAGGGGAGGGCTTGAAGGGGGGAGGGGGGGAGGAGGAGGAGGAGGAGGAGGAGGAGGAGGAAGAGAAGGAGAAGGAGAATTGGCCTCCCGGGAACCAGGTGGCTGATCCAGGCCCAGGGCAGCAAGGAGACATGGTCTCCTGGAATGTACTTGGGTCTCCTCTCCCATCTCCAGTCTAGGACTCTGTAAAGACTACTCAGAGCTAAGAACAGCCCCCAGGACGTGAATACTAACTCTACCCAGCTAACCTGGACTATGCTCTACTCAGCAGGGACTAGGTGAAGAGGACCGGCAGGCTGCTGGATGCCTCCCAGGGGGAGGTGGCAGAAATGTGCTTCTATAAAGAGGGGCCAGCCTGCATCCTCCCTTGCACGCAAAAGGCTCCCATAGGCCCCAGGGAAGGCCTTAGAGAAGGCAGCTACCCAGGCCTCCCAATTTTTACTTCTAATTCCTCACTCCTTCCAGCACCTTCTTCCCTTGAGCCAAGGTGACTGAGGCCAGGCAGGGGGTTCTGCCCTTGGTACAAGATGGTTTGTTTAAAAACACTACAATAGGGTGGCTCTACTGCCTCCCCTGACCCCTAACCTGGAGGCAGAGGAGTAGACAAGATGACCTTTGATCTCATCTAACAAGCAGGAGTTCCCTTATTGGGAAACCCTTACCTCAACATCTCCAGTTCCAGTCCTAGCTTTCCTCAGTTTCCCCTCCCCTTTCCTCAGTATCCCCCAAATTCAGAGATGGTGAATTCCCTGGTCACGGGGTTCTGGAAACTCAGGGTCTTGCAGCTCTTTCACCAAAACACAGGTGACAATGTTCTTTCTAATTCAACAACAGTTCCCAAACTAGCTTGTTGTAGTCCTATAGAGCAAGGCACCTCCTCTTTTCCTTTGGTCCCTGCTGGCCCCCAATTCCTAGAGCCACCAGAAGAGGGGCAGGCAGGAGGGGATGGATAGATGAACTCGGACAGGCTGCGGCAAAGCTCCTTCCTTGGGCAGGCAGAGGGAGGCCCGAGCTCCTCTTCAAGTGGGACGCTCTGGGCCCCTGGGAGCTGGCTCCGGATCCTTGCAAAGCTGCCCCTTCAGCTCTGGGGCAGGAGTAGCTGCCTGAACCCGGTGCCGCAGGAAAGACACTTGCTGGTAATTGGCACCATGGAGATGGCCGGCTGGGTTCTGGACTTGGCTCTGGGCAGCAAGCTTCCGAGGAGGCAAAATGGGTACGGGTGGGACAGTGGGCAGGTGGGTGGTTTGCTCTGCCACCTCAGACACATCCACCAAGTGAACAACTGGCCAAGTGAAAAGTGCAGCCAACCCACTGGGAGAGGGAAGATCTCAAGGGGTAGGAGGCAAAGAAGAGGTGAGGAGGGGCCCAAGGGGGGCAGCTCTCCCCATTCTGCTTCCCTGCTGGGGGGAGAACCCCATACTCCTCTGTTTAAAGTGCCCCGGGGCCTGGGGTCCCAGGTCAGGGCTGGGTGGTCTCCAGGCCATCTCGGGAGCCCTTCCCCATCCCTGGCACTAAGATCGCTCGCCACAAGGCCCAACGGTGCTCTCAAGGGACAACTGCGATGCCTGCCGCAGCAGGGGACCTGTGGCTGGGTCCACCATGGAGGATGTGGGGAAGAGCTTGTACCAGCCCACGGCTAGGGAGGTCAAGTCCAGCTCCTCCAGCAGCACGCGGGCCACGCCCATGAACTGCTTCCGCTCCATTCGCCCATAGTTTCCCCACACGATCACCTGTAGGTTAAAAAAAAGAGTGGCTTGAGCCCGCCAATGTCACTTGCAGGCCTAGAACCAGAACCTGGGGTTTCCCAGGCCCATTCATCTGCATCCTACCGCCTTAAAATTGTTCAAAGCTGACCATATTTTCCTGGCTCTGTAGCCTCCATTACTACTGGCCCTCCAGGCCCCCTCCATTCTGTCCTCCACATGCCGCATCTCTGAACCCAGGCTTTCAAGTTAGACCCTACATCATGAGTCCTCTGCCTGCTTCCCTTGTGGGCCTTCTGCTTCCAAATCCTCAGGTACCCTTCCTCCAAAGTTTTACAAAATGGCAGGTACAGTGTGTGTGCTACTTTCTTTTTTTCTGCCAACCAGTGTCTTCCCCCTTTTCTTGCTCAAGACCCTCTTGGAGCTGCCAAGTGGTGGTCTCTGGCTGCATGACCCTCACTGGCTGTTCTGGGCTTCAGCTTCTAGCTCAGGCCCCTGCTACAAAAGTGGGCTGGCTCAAATGTTCAGGATCAGGGTCAGATATAAGACTCTCAGGACTCTCTGCCTCTTACTGCCTTGTGTGTGTGTTTGTGTGTGTGTGTGTGTGTGTGTGTGTGTGTGTGTTTCTGTTGCCTAAACCCAGAGCCTTCACATTGAGCTACACCCCCAGCCCTTTTATTCTATTTTTGTTTTAAGACAATGTCTTGCAGAATTGCCCAGGATGGCTTTGAACTTGTGATCCTCCTGCCTCCGTCTCCCAGAGACCCGGGATTACAGGCATGTACCACCATACTCAGCTGGCTGTATGGCTCTTGACAAGTCATTTAGCTCATGAAGCCTTAGTGTCTGTGTGTGTAATGGGAACAATCCTGGCTTGGCTTACTTCGCAGGTGAGGATCAAAGGACAGAGTGGCTGCAGAAGCTCACTGGCAGCTGTGTTCCTCAGCATACAGGGTCACAGTCAAACAAAGGGGCTGCCCTTATGGTCTGCTGTGTGTCTAAACTGGCTTGAGACTCAGTCTTCCCCTGCACAAAATGATTCCTGTCTAAACTGAGGCTCAGAGAAGTTAAATCATTTACCTCAGGTTGCTCAACTATGTTTTTGGTAGCTGATAAATGTTCTTTCCTATCCTATTTCTTTCTTTTTTTTTTAGACAGGTTGCAGAGATAGTACAGGCTGGCCCTAAACTTGCTACAGAGCCAGACTGACCTCAAACTTGAGACACTCCCTGCCTTGGGCTCCCCAGTGCTGGGACTGCAGGTGTGCACCACCCTGACCTGCTTCATTCCATTTTTAAAATTATTTGAGACCTACCCAAACTGACTTCACAGTTCACTAATGGGTCTCCCCTCACAGGTGGAAACACCCTCCTAGGGCAGAGGACCCAGGCTTGCTAGTTTGGTGAAGTCCCACTGTCTGGGCAACTTGGAGCATCCTGGGCCTGCTCTCGGCACTTTGCCTGCCCAGGGTGGACACAAGGACTGAGGTGCGGGCAGAGGTGCCCAGGCAGCAGCTGAGAGCAGGCCTGCCTGCCGCATGATGGGCAGCTGTTCAGCTCCTGCTTGAGTGATCACCAGTGTCCTCCTAATGGCTGGAGCCAAACCCCTCTCTGTGGTCCTAAATGGGCCACAGGCCAAGCCCCTGGCTCCAGAGACCATTTATAGGGCACTTGGTAGAGGCCAAGTGCAGGTCTTCCTCCTACACAGGCACTCGGCCTACCATATGGTAGTGTTACTGGCACCAACTTTACAGATGAAGAGGGCTCCACAGTGAAACAGGAAGTTGCAGAGCACATACCAGCCAGTGCCTGACTTCCTCTAGAGACTCCACCACCGCCACCACATGCATGCCAGTGCCCCTCACCTGCAGGACTTTTCCCTGTGGACTCTCAGGAAACAGCAGCACCTGGTTGTACAGCGGGTCCAGTGACTTGCGAGCGACTTTAGTCTTCTTCTTGGCAATGCAGACGCCGTTCTCTAGCAGGTAGGCCTTGATGTAGGCAGCTGGGGACAGAGGCAAAAGGCAGAGTTCTAGGCTGGACCCTCAAATGGTAGGCAGAGGGGACAAGCGGGGAGAGGCGTGCTCCACGGGGTGGAGAGGAGGTCCAGGGGCCGGTCGGGGGCGGGGGATGGGCCAGTGTTGGGTGGGAGCCGCACCAGCTCCCCTGGCAGCCCGGACTGCCTGCTCCTCTTGCTCACTGCTTCCTTTCTCGGCCCAGGACTCACCCACCCCTGCCTTACCCAGTCATCTGCTGACCACTCACTCAGCAAACGCTGGGCACCTCTGCATGCCAAACACACTACTAGGCACAGGAGTACAATGATAAGCAGGAAAGATGGTCCCTGCCCTCTAGAAGCTCTGTCCAGAAAGGAACTCGCAAGGCTGATGGGCAATCTCATCTGGGCTTCTAGACAAAACCTAAACCACCAGTGCCATGTAAGACTGAGGGGTTCTCCCCAGTTAGGCCCAATTTTCTCTCTTACAGACCCTGGATACCCCTCAGGATATCTTCCCTGACTGCCAGCCCTGCCTTGCCCAAGGGAGAGCAGGCGCCACACCTGGCAGTGTCTTGGAGCCTGGCCTGGCCGTCAGTCCCCGTGCCTGGATGATGTCCACTTCCAGCTGCCCATTCCGCTCCTGCAAACCGATCTCCACGTCTCCTGCAAAAGGCCCCAACAATGAGACCAGCTCCTGCTCTCTGTGTAGGGATGGAGGCCCCTCCCTCTGCTCCCAGCCAAAACAGGAACAGAGCCAACATCCGTGCCCAGGGCCTGGGCTGTGCTGAGGGCTCAGCAGTGTGGACCAAGCTGCAGGCTGGGTGCTCAGAGCATGCAGCCAACAGGTAGAGAGAAGGAGGGAGAGATGCAGGGCTTCTTCTAAGACCCCCTGCCTTTCCCTTTCCATTTGGAACAGGCCTTACCCATGGAACAGACACTTACCCATGGGCGTGGTGGCCAGGGTCTGGCGGCCCACAAACTGTGCTGGCCCCATGCTGCCCAGGAAGTCACTGAACTGGGCATCCGATGCCAGGCAAACTCCTCCATAGTTAAGGCTGCAAGAAGAAAAGATGAGTCAAACAAATGTTCCCAGGGCCCAAAAGAACTTTGAGGACTCAGCAGAACATCCTGGATTCCATGGTGATTTTTGTCCATGTCCATGATGCAAGTTCTCCTTGCTAAACATTGAGTGCCACCTCTGTAGCACGTGCGTACTTACTTCTGGGGTGGCTACAAGAATCGCAGGAGATTAGAGTCTGTCAGGTGCCCAGCTCACGTGACACTCCAAGTGTGGTCCAGAGACCAGCATCAGCATCAGCATCAGCATCACCCGGAGCTAGAATCACACGCACCTGACCCCGCTCCCAGTGCTGAATCAGAATGTGCAGTTTAACGTTGAGCCCAGGGGATCACCCTGCACATGAGAGCCTAAGAGGCCCGGGACAGAGGCTCTGGGCCAGGTATGTGGTTGTTGCTGTTGCTTGGCTACCCAGTGTTCACTGCCCTTTCCTTTGATAACAAGACCTCAGATTACCTTTGGAGAGCCCTCTTCCCATAGTATGTGACTGCAGTGCAGAGAATCAGCCCCCAGAGACGGGGCCTGCAGCTCAGCCTGGCCAATCAGGGCATCCAGCCGACAAGAATCTGACCTGGAAGCTTTGTGTGAACAGCAGGGAGTGCGAAGGCTCCCTCTTCCTACTACACTGGAGCCTCAGACACAGGATGGAACTTCTGGCAGCTGTCTTAACCACCTAGAGTCCACGGATGAAGACATCAAACTGGTGGCACTGTGTGTGCTCTGCCTGGAGCAAATGATTTCATCTTTCAGTTATATAAGTCAATACAGTAATAGTAATTATTTTGCTTAAGCCAGTTTTAACCCCCCCCACCCTCTAACAAACCCATTCCTATGTCTGAAATGCAAATAATAATGTTCTCCTCTCCAGAGTCTACTGTATTAAATGAGGCAGGGCAGGGCCGGGGATTTAGCTCAGTGGTTTCGCCGCCTGCTGCCCAAGCGCAAGGACCTGAGTTCGATCCCCAGTACCAAAAAAAAAAAAAAATGAGGCAGGGTACTACATTCCATGTCTGATGCCCTCTGACTGTTTTAAGGAGCAAAGTACAACCCATTTCTCACTTGATCCTCACCACAACCACAGGAGGCTTTTGTTTTGTTGTTTTACCTTTTCCATCCTTATTCAGATGAAGAACCCATTTGCCCAGCAAAAATGATGGCCCTGCTGCCTGGCCAGCACTAATGGATCCCGGGATAGATGCCTACCTCATCCTGGGTCACTTGGAGATTCTCTCTAGGAAGTAAAAAGAGAATCCCAGAAAGTAAGAGTCAAGAACTGAGCCACATGATGGTCTGCCCTCTCAACAGCCTGCAGACTGTACTAGCTACCCAGTCCTGGCTGCTCCAGCCTGACCTTGCTGAGGTACTCCATTGTAGCAAACAGATTCCACTTTTTCCGAAAGTAGTGGCAGGATCAATGTCAAGATCATAACCTGACAGTCTAGCCTGAGTGCTTTTCATTGTCATGATTTCCTACTACTCCTGCCCCAATGCCCAGGGAGACCCCACCCCACAGTCTACTGCCTGAGGAAGGATGCCCAATAAATAGAGAGAGCAAGAAACTCAGAATCTTGGCTTTTTAATTCTAAATCTAAGAAACAGGCTACTCTGCCCCCAGACAAAGAAATTCTGGTCTGGGACAGCAGAGGAAGTCAGTGAGGGGGAGAAAACTGAGTTGCTGGATGGTCCATGGGCAGGTTGGTGGTCCCTGGGCTGAGCTGGTGGTGTTGAGGGAGCAAAAATCATCTCAAGTTTGGTTCGGGGGATCTGAAAGCAGAGGGAACTTGTGCCACCCTCCTTAGCGGGTAGTGCTGAGGAAAGAGCACAATGCTTTGCAGAAATGGCTGCCTGGCTGTCATGTCAAGTGACCCTGGAAGATCCTGTAATGCTCATATGCCCCTCCATAACCCAGAGAAAAATAAATACATGTTCCAGTGCACCCAAGAGATAAACTCACAGAGGATGGTGGTCTGGGCAAATAGAGGTAGCTGAGAGTAGCTCAGTGGTAGAGCACTTGCCTAGCATGCATGGGGTCCTGGGCTCCATCCCCCGTACTGGGAAAGAGAAAAAAAAGTAGCTGAGAACAGAGAAACAATGACCAAGGAGCAGACAGTGATGATCATGCTCCAGAAGACGTTGAAATGATGGATGATGACCGAGGACCACATTTCCGCCCGCCTCCAGTCTTAGCAACACAGTGATAGCAACCACCATTACTGAATACTAAGCAGCACTGATAACCCAGTAAGTACACAGACACTGTAGCCAGCATCCATTTGTTTCATTCATTTGACAAATGTTTACAATGTATGTATGCACTGTTCTGGAGATAGAATATGTCAGGTAATAAACAAGATAGCGATTCCTGCCCTCAAATGCTCATACAATATGTTAGAAGGTATTAAATGCTATGGAAAAAGAAAATCAGAGTGTATGATGCTGGCTCCAACACTAAATAGTGTGACCAACATCTCTGCTGTCTATCTCTTATTAAATACAATTAAATACAATACAGTATTCATGAGAGGCTTGGTTCCAAGACCCCTCTAATACCAAAAACCACAGGTGTTCAAGTTCTTGGTTAAAAAAATGGTATAGTATTTGCATATAACCTACACACATTCTCCCCTATACTTTAAATCATCTCTAGATGACTTGTAACACCTAACACAATGCAGATGCTACACTGTTATGCTGTACCGTTTTGGGAATAATGACTGAAAAGGTATATACATGCTCACCCTGGACACAAGTGCTGTAGGCCTAACTGCAGAGCCCACAAAGAGGATGCAGCAAACAATGCTCAAATCGTAAGAGCCAGAAAGGGCTGAGAGTGTGTGAATGGTGAGGAGCCAGGGCAGGGTGCACCCATGTACCACTGCATTTGTGGCAGGTTCAAGTTTTGCTTCTTGGAACTCTCTGGAATTTTTTAAAAAATATTTTTGATCCATGACTGGTTGAATTCACAGATGTAGAAGCTGTGGATATGAAGGGCCAACTGTACTATGAATGTTACTCTTCAACCTGGTTTAGCAATTTACATGGATTCTCTCTACATGAACTTCCCTGGGACATAGTTATATCTGTTGGGAAAATCCTGAACCAAATAAGACTAAGTTTCCGGTAAATACCACAAAAGGGGACTTGACACCAAGATGTGTAACAGCAAGCCTGCAGTGCTTACTGTGTGCTACAACAGTCTGAGGGCTCTACACGTACTGATTCATTTCAGCCCCTCCAACCTGAGGGTGATGATTCATGGGCCCATTTCACAAACAAACCGAAGAGGTCAGTCCAGGCCCAAGTCATGTAGGTGTTGTGTGGCCCCACTCATGCTGGCACTTCCGCTGCAGCTGCAGACTCTTACACAGCCACGCAGCCTTAGGTCTTCCCTTCTGGGTGTGACAGGACCCTCTGCCTGTGTGGGGAGCAGGCTGGAATCCCCACAGGGTTAATGCCCCAGAAAAAGCATCTGAGCAGCGACACACTGAGAGAGATTGGTTGCTGGAATAACTGGTCTCCTGAACTCCCGGGAAGGTCTCTCCATGCTCTAGTTACCCACAGTGGCAACAGATTTGCTGACCACCCTGTACTAGTTCTTGCCCTTCCTATCTCCTTCTTATGTGCTTCCACACTTGTGGCTCCTGGGATTGCCTCCCAAATAATCTATTTCTACTTCGATCTGAGAGTCCAGTTGCTTCTGGAAGAAGCCAAAGACAAGCAGTACTGGAGTTCAGGCAGTTGGGCTTCTGTGGCTATTAAGCTAGCAATTCTGCAACAGTGTACCTTTTATAGAGAAAGCATGGGGGAAAAATAGTGACTTAAATGTCTGGGGATTGAAATGTACTTGCTTTTCTTGCAAAACTAAAGACCCTTAATTAACAGCACCAAAGCTAACACTAGACTCACAGCTGAGAGGCTCTTTCCTCCACATCCCTGGGCCTCTCTACCCCATCCTCCCAGCTCTCTGGGGGGTCCAGGCTCTGTTTTGTACCCAGAGAGATGCCAAGGCCTGGTGGGTTCCAAGGCATAAGGAGCCCAGCCTCCCAGGCAGAGAGGCCTCTGCAGCTTGAAATTGAAAGTTTCCTCCAACATCATTGTCTGGTCCTCAGTTCCTGGTGGGGTGTGAGCAGACAATGGGGAACTGGCAGGTCTGGTAATTAGCAGTAATTGTTTCTAATATCTGGGAGGCTGCCTGATTTCCCAGCCCAGGGTGCCTTGCTGGCTGCCAAGAAATCAAGCTGATGCCCCAGAAACCCTGAGCGAGCGATCGCGTCCTCCGTGGAGCTGGAGGAAGGAGTGGTGTGGCTGGTTGCTGGCCAGAAGGCCAACTGCGCTGCAGACCCCACCCCATCTCAGCCTCTTCCCTCAAGCAGGAAGAAAGGGAGAGGCTACAATATCGGACCTGTGCCTTGCTGGCCAACTGCTTGTGGCGTGACCTCTGACAAGCTGCTATTGTCACGTACTTCAGTCAGTGCTTTTACCTGTCACCCAGATCACACTATGTTGTGGACAGCATACAGCCATTCAGGTGGCTGGTATGGCATCAGTTTTAAGTGTTTTAAAAACCCTCTACTTACATGATACCTTACCAAAGGAGTATGGAGGAGCTTGCTGAATTAGGAAGTGCTCCATACACACTGCTACTTAGACCATTCCTTGTATGTAACAGGGGCTCAGTAAATGTTCCATTGCCAAACCCCATAGTGGGTCTCAAACTAGCAGAATAAAGAATCATAATTAAGATTGGATTTTGGCACACTATAGACCTTGGCATCTAGTGCTTTATAAGCTGGGGCAAGTTTTGAACTTCTCTGAGCTATAATTTTCTCATACATAAAATGGGAAGTAGGGCCGGGGATTTAGCTCAGTGGTTTCACCACCTGCTGCGCAAGCGCAAAGACCAGAGTTCGATCCCAGGTACCAAAGAAAAGGGAAGTAATAGTAACTGCCTTCCTGAATTATTGGAGAGAATAAACA